TGGAAATTTTGAGTAGTTCACAGAACCGGTAGCAGAAACTTTGAGTAGTTCAGAGAACCGGCAGATGCCATCTCTGGCTGGCCCCAGAGGAGGGTGGGAATGGAGATTTTGCAGTATCCTTCCCCTGCCACGCCCACCAAGCCACGCCACAGAACCAGTAGGAGGAAAAACTGAATTTCACCACTGCCTTCATGGATACAAGAGGCTCCTGTCTCAGACGCGTGCCTGTCAAAATGTGAAAGGTTACAGATGTGGAGAAGGAAAATACATTGAAATGGGCATAATGTGCCAGAAGTCTTAATTTCATCTAAGCTTGTAATGTAGCTTTTATTTTAACATAGATATGATTGCAAAGAAAAGAATGAGAATCCATTTTTGAGGGACTAGAGGCAACGGCTCTCTTATACTCCAGGCTTGTTTCAAGATAGGTCATCTTGTTTCCTATCTCAACTTCTAAATCTACAGGTGGATTCTTGACTAACCCCTAAGTGTTAAGTAGTCTGTAAGTTTTGGTTTGTATCTCTCAGCCTTTCTTGATAGGAAGGAATGGCAAAAGAGCAAAAGAAAGAGTATATCCATGAGAACAGAATGTTTGATGGAAAGGAATCCTATAGCCCTGTCCTAGGTATTGGCAGTAGGTCCCAAGAAAGATCGGATGTGTGCCAAATGATGCCCAAGAGTTTAGAAGTATCTCAGGATGAAAAAAAATACTGATTATCAAATATATATTGCATCACAACTGCAACAATGTCTTATCCAGCTTTCAAATAAGAGATTCACACATTATTTCCCAAATACCCAAAGTCGTCTCCTTTGAGATATGGTGTCTCCTTTCAGAGTTCTTGCCTTTGTGTTACGTGGCCTCCAGCTCTTACTGTTTTTAGACAAGAGTTGCAACCCTAAATTGCCAAGAAGCCTTGCTAGTCATTAGCTTTTACTTGATACTGATAAGTAAATCTTGCTCTTCTGTAAGAAAGTCACCATTTCATTCCGCTTTACAATTTTCAATCAGAAGGTCTGTCAGTGTAGATGTTCAGTCCATTTCCTTAAGTATGAAAAGTAGACTTCCAAAAGCTGGACATCTGGGCAGCAAATCAAAGAGACACACAAAGCTCCCGATTATAATCTTTGCTCTTTGTAAGGAAATATATTGTATTCCCTAATTTATATGCAGTATATGCTTGTCCTTTAACATATGCAAATTATAACCAAATGTATGTTCTTTGGCATTTTTTTGCTGTTCCAGAAATACCTTCCTGCACGTTGCATTCAAAATACTTTTAAGGTTTGGGGGATGCAGGCAAACAATTGTCTAATTGTACCATCCCCTCCATTACAGTGTCAGTTGTTTGCCTGGAACATTTTCGACTGTCTTTTATGTTTTTCAAATTTTCAGAAAGATGTTTCCTGAATTTTTTTGTGAGAAAACAATAAATGATAGGATCCAAGACACAGTTGGCACCCAGAAGAACAAGGGTAACCTGGTGGATATCATTTAATATTTTTTGCTTTTGGCAGCTTATGTCCCACTTCTTCAGAACCATCAAAGTCCAGGGTAGATCCACCAAGTGGTGAGGCACAAAACAGAGAATGAAGACAGTCAGAACTGTGGTCACTAGCCAAAGGGCCCGTTGCCTGACATGGGCGCTCCTCCGACTTTGCAGTGATTTTGACATCAATGTCCGGATAATGAAAGCATTGCATACCAAGACAAGCAGGAAAGCAACGAAGAAACAAATACAAATAACCACATGGAAGGCAAGAATAGGAGTTGTATTACCGCTGGTGTCATAGCGCTCAAAACACCGAGTCAGGTGCCCCTCAGTGGTTGTGCCATTATCAACTAAAAAATAGATGGAAGGAACACCTATTAGGACCCAGATAGCCAATGTGACATAAATTCCTCTTCTTCGTGTGCTGGATTGAACGGTTGAAATGGGCTTTGTGACGGCTTGGTAACGATTGTATGTTATTACTCCCAGGAATGCCACAGAGCAGTACGTATTGACGAAAAATAAGTAGCCAGCTATATTACACAGAAAACTGGGCATGATCCAATTCCCTTTGTTGTTGTAGTAAACAATCCATGTTGGCAATGTAACCAGGAAAAGCAAGTCAGCAGTTGTTAAGTTGACTATGAATATTTTTATTTCATTTAATTTCTTCTTAGCGTAAAGCCGAGTGAAAAGCCACAGCACATAGGTGTTCGCTACAAAGCCCAGAATGAAAATGATGCTGTAGTAGATGGTAAACAGTAGATATCTGAACTCAGAATCCACATGGCATTCCTTAGTTTGCCTGAGAAGTGCAGAGTAGGTTCCATTTTCATCAAGTTTGCTGACCATTGCGGTAGTCATGGTGTCCTCCTCCTGGAAATAAAATGACAAAAGGAGATAGTTAATGGAAGAGAAGAAAACGATGGGATTTCTTATAGCTAACTTGGAGCTGGCTATGTCATTAATACAACCTCATTTGCCTCACTCAAACCACTTACTATGGAGCAGTCCATTGCCTTACCCTCTAGGAATCGCCTTTCCATGGATTCTCTAGGAATTGTGAGGGTTTTCAACTAAAGCTTTAACCTGGGAATATCTTCCTATGTTTAACTATTTTCGCCTGTCAGGAGGTTGTACTTCGAGATTGTTCCTTTGGCAATTCACATTTAGCAACTGGGTTGGACAGTCAGCCTTCAACTCTCAGAATACCTCTATACCGAGGTTACCCTGCATTTATTCACTATTTACATTAATCATCCATTGCATTCTCTCAAGTGTGATCACATTATTATACACATTCTGAATACTCCACTTTTTACATTAGTTCAAGTAAACACATCATAAAGTTTAAAAATCAGACTAATGTTTCACTTTTTTTAGCTTACTAAGTAAAATAATTACAGTTAAATGCCTAAAGTTTTTGGAGGTCTTCCTAAAATACTATTTGCTTGGTTCTTATCATCTGTATATCTGCAGTTTTTTTCAGGGTAGGGCTGGATGGAATAAGAAAGAAACAGAGCTGGTTCATTACCAGGAAATTAGATGACTTCCTTCTCCTTGTAAAATTTTATAAAGCTCATAAGGGGTTACAATACAAGGCCATCTGTGCTCAAAAGTTTCTCACTCCCCCCCCCCCCAGATCTTCATATATGATTAAGGCTACTTAATCTGCTGTTTGTCTTTTTATCTGGGAACCTGCGGCAAATTAAGGTATTCATCATTCAGCAGACTTATGTATTAGTGTTCTTCAAACTTCTTTTCACTTGACTCTGTGGTTACCTAAGAATAATGAAAATCTGGAGCTCGGGCTGCATTAGTTACTTGCAAGTTCTGGCAAGGGGTGGAAATGAGTGGAGGGGAAGGAAGTGGAACTATATAATAAAAGAGGAAGGGATCTGAGCTTTTACTGAAAAAATAACCTGAGGTTAAAAAGGTTAAAGTTTAGCACAGCTTAATGCTTTTCAATCATGGTGTCTTTGGCAAAAGAAAGCTTCAGCCTCTAGTAATAAGAGAAATACTCTTAGAAACCTTTAAGAATAGAGGCGAGTGATGTGCGGGAGATGGTCAAGACTGGGTTTTAGAGGCCCTTTCATTGAGGGCTGGCTAAGACACGTGTGTCAACCAGAAGCTTCATCTTGAATGTGTAGCCCTTCTTCTTTTTTTAACCTACACAAACCAATTGTATAACAACTAAGAAAAGCTGTTGTATACTTTTACCCAAATTATGTAAATATTTGTGATAGTTAAATTCTTTTTTGAAACTTCGCACACACATTCCTAATGGTAATTGGTATCCTGATTTTATTGTTTGTGCTTATTATCTAAGCTTAGCTCAATTCTTATAACACATAGATGAAACAGTGACCTCAATGGCATGGCTATAATTTTACCTTTGAATGTTACCTTCTGCTGGTCAGTGACTGAATTAAAGAGCCCACTGCCAAGAAGATGACTCATATCCATTTGAAAAGACCCCACAAGTTATATGGCTGGGAGCAAAACTTAGATTGATTTGAAAATCTATGTCTCATTCTATGTTGCATAAAATATTTCTGGCATTTTTGCAGTCTGAATGACAAAATCTTTTCAAGAAGAGTCTTGGGCATAAAGTTTGCCAATAGCATTTTCTTAGGTTGAGTTCAAGTGACCTCTGATTACCATTGGGTCCAAGCCCAGCAGACAGAAAGCTAACATTAACCAAAGATTAAAAAGATGGTACCAAGACTTAGGGACCATACACACCAAACCCACCTCTAGCAAGATGCTAATACATTTTGGAACTGCAAGAATAGCTCTCTTAAATTTAAATTGGACAACTTCAAGGATATCAGGCTTTCTAAATTAAATACTTGGGACACCTAAAGAGATAGGAAATGGCTTTGGCTATGAAGACCTTGAAAGCTACAGTGATAAAATGATCTCCCTTCAAATAGAAAAATCTCCAGATAGCTGATCTTTGTTATGCAACATTTGACAATGAGGACTAGAACAGCATCCACAGGTGATATAATTTAGATAGATACATAGATAGCATTTCCTTTTGTTTGCCAATTGAATTTTATAACCATCAAAATGCAAAGACTTCAGATTTTCTTCTAAGTAGAAAGAACTCCAAACTAACTGTACTATATATTTTCTTCTCTTGAAAATTTAGCAATAGGGTGATCTTTTTTAAACTTCCTTGGGGGCAATATTTCAATTACAATGTTCTGCTGCCTTCCTCTTACTCACTTCCTCCTTCTAGGCAAATAAGTGCATTAGAAAGAATTATTTAACTTTTATCAAATTAGTGTCTTTTTAACTTCCTTATTCCTTATAATACAGCTTCAAGTGATATTTTCTAAATATTTTTGCTGTATGTTTCTGGGTACATCTGCAATTATTTTATATGGAAGGAAGTGAAACTGGTGTAGCCCTTCTTAAGAATTTCTACATAAACCACAAAATGAATTGGGCAACATGAACCAAGGTTGAACATAACTACAGATTTGTTTGTGCTTCCTTTCTCAAGTTTTTGATTGATTCCTGCTTTAAAAAATATTCTAAAACTATTAGGCATCTTGATTATGTCTAAGGGAAATCATTCTCCCATACTTGAGAATTGTTGTTAGTTGCGAAGCCATGTCCGACTCATTGCGACTCCATGGACAACGTTCCTCCAGGCCTTCTTGTCCTGTACCATCCCTGGAGTCCATTTAAGCTCACCCTTACTGCTTCAGTGACTCCATCCAGCCAACTCATTCTCTGTTGTCCCCTTTTTCTTTTGCCCACAATCGTTCCCACCATTTGGCTCTTCTCCAGTGACTCCTTCCTTCTCATTAGGTGACCAAAGTATTTGAGTTTCATCTTCAGGATCTGGCCTTCTAAAGAGCAGTCGTGGTTGATCTCTAGGACTGACCGGTTTGACCACCAAGGGACTCACAGGTAAAATACATAAAT